TTTATTTGAGTATATTTAAATTGCACTTATTATATTATTTACTGAATTCTCTATTTTTATTATACTGGTAGTAAAAATTTGTTATTATTTTCACAACTGTATTCTAATTATATTGTTACTTTTTTATTTTTCAGTTAAAATATTATATGGTAGAGAATCATCAGGCCCAGTTAACAAAAGATACTTGTTGCCCTTATCAAAGTTTTCTAATGTAGAATTTCATGGACGTGTACTAGGTCATTTAACTGCTGTCTATTGTGTATGTTTTGATACATCTGGTAGATATATTGCTACTGTAAGTTATATTGTAAAAACAATTCAGTTATTTAAAACCTTATCTTAAAAAAATATATTTTATTTTCATTTTTTAGGGAGCTGATGATTACTTAGTTAAAATATGGGAAGCAAGTACAGGGCGTCTTTTATCAACTTTGAGAGGAGCTAGTGCTGAAATCACTGATATTGCTATTAATACTCAGGCAACATTAATTGCTGCTGGAAGTATGGATAAAGTATTAAGAGTTTGGTGTCTTCAAACTGCTAGACCTGTAAATTCAAAATTAAATAATTACAAAATGGCTTATATTGTTAAATAATAAATAATTTGACTTTCAGATTGCTCATGTAGTAGCACATGCCAGTATGATTGTAACAGTGAATTTTTGTCCCCAAACATTTAATGGCTTAGGTTACATAGCATCCACTAGTACGGATGGATCAGTTGTATTTTGGCCATTCAGATCAATTAGTGGAAGCACAGTTTTTGAGTAAGTATCTTAATTAAATCTACCATAAAAATTTTACCTGATTTATTTTTAGGCCAAACTTAACTGTTTATCATGAGCGTGCTAGCATGCGTCATGGAAGTGCTAAAATTTTATGTGGTGCTTTTTCTGCTGGTGGTATAATGTTTGCTACTGGTAGTGCTGATCACAATGTCCGGGTGTACAAAATGACTCCATCTTCTACTGATGAATCTGCTCCAGTTCGGTTAATGGAAACAGAAGCTCATTCTGACTCTGTAGATTCAATACAATGGGCACATAATGGTTTAAGATTTTGCTCTGGTTCAAAAGATGGAGTGGCATTAATTTGGTCCTATAAAAATCAAGAGTGGAAATATAAAATATTGTTTATGACAACTAAGCTAAAAAAAAAGTATGATAAAAGATAGAAATCATACAGTAAATTAGCTTTATAATAAGTAATACATTTTTTTTAGTAATTCTGATAAAGTTCATAATGAAGAAATAAATAAACAAGTTAAACCATCTGTTACATATTTGTGTTGGGATCAAAGTGATCGCTGGATAATCACAGCATGTACTGATATGACCATTAAAGTTTGGGATTCAACTACTACTGAACTTTTGCAAATATTGACGGGACACAAAAAAGAAGTATATGTATTGGAATCTCATCCATTCCATTCAAAAGTTAGTAATTATATAATTTCTATTGCTTAATTATCAATATCTTTTTCTTATTTTTAATTTTTATTGTATTAAAAGATTGTATTAAGTGCTGGACACGATGGAAAAATATTTTTGTGGAATATTATTACTGGAGAAGTACTAGTTTCATTTCAAAATACCATTGAAGGACAAGGGTTTGCCGCTTTATATGATGCCAAATGGTCTCCAGATGGCACTATGTTTTCAGTTACTGACTCTCAGGGTCATTTGTTAAATTATGGAATTGGAATACCTTCACCTGAAAGAAAAGTAAAATAAAATTATTAACACAAAAAATACTGAACACTGTAATATAACAATTGTATTGTAGCAAAAATGGGTACACTTAAAGTACTGATTTTAAAAACATTAAATAAATTACAGGTTCCTTATGAAGTATTTTTCCATACTGATTATCGTCCATTATTGCGTGCAGCTGATCATT